CTTTTAAAGTTGCCAACCCTGGTCAGCCAAGGTGGTTCATTGGTAATCTAATGTTTCACAATGCTGAGGCAACATGACATATCAACCTGTCCTGAGGTCACATCCTAGGCTTTTCTTATGCATTCTGAGCACATGTTCATGCCCATGACCCTTGCTAGCCGAGGCTTGGGAGAACCATGGCATGAGGACCCTAGTAGGGATAATTCTCTGTCTCCCCTATTTTTGTCTCTCTCTCTCTCCTTCTCTCAAGGAAGAAAACAATGTATAATCATTTTTTTTAAAGTTGTAAATATTGGGGCCAGCAAATGGTGTAGTGGTAAAGGCACTGGACTACCAGATGGCCGATCATAGTTCCAGTCCAAATCCAGCAGCTTGAAACTCACACAAGACATGTGTGCATGCATGCCCAAATTCCCGAGAGGAGAATGGAGGAGATGGAATGTGGCATGGCCATCCCTCTGTGGGGTGATTTCTCACTTTCTCTCTCTGTCTTCCTAGTGAGCGCATGCATCCTATAGCAAAAATCTCTCTCTAAACAAACAAGCAAAAAGTTTCAAATATTAGTATACTTTTCCTCAAATAACTTCTGTGTCCATATCAGATTTCAATTTTTTACAGCATTTTTTCTTTAGAGATTAAACTTATATAAATTAAAATGTACAAATCTGAAGTGTACATTTGATTAATTCTAACAAGTGGGTATAATTGTAAAGTTAAATCCTTGTGAAGAGACTGAACATTATTATAATCTCAGGAAGTTTCCTCATGTCCCTTTCCAAGTAGTTCTTACCTCTACACTTTTTTCTTTAAAAATTTGTTTTGCTTATTTTAGACCCTTATGGAAATGAAAAAATTACGGTATACAAATTTTTTTGCAAGCATTCAGAGTAAAGTTTTGTGATTCATCTAGATTTGTTGCATACAATGGTAATTCTTCCTATTTAGTACTACTTAATAGTTTATTGTGTAAATAGATTATTTTTTTATTCATATACTACCCCATTTATAGACTTTTTGGCTATTTACAAATTGAAGCTATTACAAATAAAGTATTATGAATATTTTATACTGGTGCTTTAGTGGGTACATATTTTATTTCTCCTTGGAAAATACATAAGTAGAATTGCTAGCTCAAAGGATAAGTATATGTTTGGTTTTATAATAAACTGCCAAATACGTATTCCAAAGTGTTTGTACCATTTTATATTCCTACCAACAACATATAAGAGTTCCAGTTGCTCTAAATCCTTGCCAATATTTGGTATTATCCATCTTTTTAAAAAATTTTAGCCATTCTAGTAAGTATATAGTGGTATCTTAATTTGTTTTAATATTTTTTTGCATTTATTTTTAAGATTATTTTTAAAAATCAGTCCTTCCCAGAGCATTGTAGGTCATGATGGTCTTTCTACTTGGATGTCTTAGCATTTAATGAATCTACCTCATTAGGTCACTTCTTATATACTTCCTCATATTTTTTAATTTTTATATTATAATAATTTTTATTTCTCCAATCAGATTATATAAACCTAGAAAGTGAAGTCTTTTTTTGTTTCTCGCTGTGCCCTGTAATAAATTATGCAACATTGAGCTCAGAGTAGCCACTTCATAGATGTTGGTAGAGCAAAAGTAAAAATAAACCTTGTGGACAAACAAAATGTGCTTTATCAATGCAATGGAATTCTACTTAGCAATAAAAAGAAACAATCTAGCAAGCCATGCAAAGACATAAGTGAATCTTAAATGCACATGTTGAACCACTCTGGTGGCCTGGTGATTAAGGGAGCCAGATCTCGCATGGCCAATCACAGTTTAAATCCCAACCCAGGGAACTTGACAAACCTGTTGGGCATGTGTGTGTGCATGCCCCAAATCCTGACAGAGTGGATAAATGTAGGAGGGATTGCAGCATGACAATGCCCCATTGAAGAATGCTTTCTCCTTTTTTCTCTTTTTCTTTCTCTCTCTCATGGCCATGTACCCTCTGGCAATTAAAACAAATAATTTAGGGGAGCCAGCAGTGGTGTGGTGGATAAGGGCACTGGATTCCCACATGGCCAACCATGGTTCAAGCCCTGGACCTGGTGGTTTGCTTTCTCACTTTCTCTTTCTCTCTCTCTCTCGTCAAATAAAGAAAAAAAAAATAACAATAACAAATGGAAATAGATAAATAAATAATTCTTTAAAAAAATAATTTAGGAGTTCAAGTTAGCTCATGATGGAATGCAGACTGACAAACGCATGTAACTGCTTCAGAAATACATGAAACATCTTCAATGGGAAGGTGGAATACTTTAGAAGTGGATAGAGTCTGTAAAACTAAGGCAAAGCATGTATACATTGTGCTCTACTTGATACAATTGTTTCCTATTGGAGATACAGATTAATATTTCTTGAATCACTATATATAAAAATGTTTTCTACTGATAATATGGATTAATAATTTTCAAACCAGTATATACATACTACAAAATGTGGGAGCCATTTTTCCCACTTTTAGAATAGGTAGTTATGGACAAAAACAGGTGGGGAAAATTAGAATAATTCATGTTGTAGCAGGCTACAGTTGTAGACATCAGCATAAACTCATTATCAGCTTACTATAGATATAGGTAGTTATATAGATAAATATTTTTAGCGTTTTGTATATGCATAGGATAGTGTATACATGTACATTTCCTTGCTGTATCAGCTGATAAAGTATAGAAACAATGACACTATAATAGCAATTTGTACACATAGTGCCTAGAACTCGTTTTATATATTTCTAATGCAGTTCTAGTTTTTTGTCATAGTCTGTATACCATCCCGAGTTACTCTCACCTCCTAAATGTTTATAATTTATAATTTGCATATGTTAAATATTATTCTTTCTCCAGTGAAATGAACCAGGGCTCCCTGGAGAGATGGCTGACTCTAAGATTTTAAGATGAACTTGGACTGAGCAGAGCCCCAGTTCCATCTCCAGCCCCATGGCCAGCAAGGGACTCTGAGGCAGGGCCATCACTGACCCCAGCTCCAGCCCCAGCTGCAGCTAGCTCTCCCCACCTCATATAACTCTCCTTCAGAAAGGTAGGCAGTTTTTTTTTCTCTTCTTTATTTTGTTAATTTCTTATTCCTCCTTGTCCCACAGACTAGCCTCTGCTCATTAGCAGAGCCCCAATTCCATCTCCAGCCCGATAGTCAGCAAGGGACTCAGAGGCAGGGCCACCACTGGCCCTAGCCCCAGTCATAGTTCCAGCTAGCTTTCCCCACCCCATAGTATTCTCCTTCAGAAAGGGAGGCAGTTTGCTTTTGCTCTTCTTTCTTTTTTTAATTTTCTTTTTTTTTAATTTTATTTCATTATTTTTTATTTCATTTGCTTTTTTTTTTTTTTTTTTAGAGAGGTTTTCACTATAGGGCGTGTGTGCTCACCAGACAGACAGAGAGAGACATAGAGACAGAAAGTGAGAAATCACCCCTCCAGGGGGGATGGTCACACCGCAATCCCTTCTCCTCCATTCTCCTCTCGGGATCTTGGGCACGCACGCACACGTGCCCGGTGTGAGTTTTAAGCCACCGGGTCTGGGATGTGAACCACGGTCGATGGGGAGTCCAGTGACATAGCCATTACACTAACTGCTGGTTGCCTATTTCATTTTCTTTTATACATTTAATCACATTATTATTTGATTTACAAAATGGATATTTCAACAGATGAACATTTCTCCCTAGTACAGTTGATAAAACTATAAAATATCTTCAACAGATAATACCACATTTCTTTGTCCCATTAATGCTTTCTCTCCCTATTTTCCTTCTAAATGTCCTCCCTCAGGCCCTCCTCTTTCACACACGTTATATCTGGTATTTGCATCTATATACTGTGTTTCTATATCCTTTAGTCAATCAGTTTCAGTCATAGAGTGTGGACACTTGGTATATATTAAGTGGGGACATACTATGCCTCTCTTTCATAGCCTGGCTTGCTTCACTCAGCAGTGAATCTTCCATATTCATCCACTTCATGTCAAAAGTCAGGGTTTTGTTTGGTTTGTTTTTTGTTTTCTTGTTTGTTTGTTTTTTGTTTGTTTTATGGCTGAATAGTTTTCCATAGAGTATATGTGCCTCTTCCTTGTCCCACAGACGGGCCTCCCTGGTCAGAATAACTAAGATTAAAAAAAAAAAAGGATAAGTGCTGGTAGGGGTGTGGTGAAAGGGGAACTCTCTTACAATGCTGGTGGGAATGTAAATTGGCCCAGCCACAGTGGAGAACAATTTGGAGGTTCCTCAAAGACCTTCAGATAGAATTACCATACGCCTTCAAATAGAATTACCATACTATCCAGCAATTCCACTCCTGGGTATCTACCCAAAGGACGGAAGAATTCTTAATCAGAAAAGTGCTTGCACATTGATGTTTATTATGCCATTATTCACAATTGCTAAGACATGGAATCAACCCAAATGCCCACAAGCAGGTGAATGGATTGAAAAACTGTGCCACATATACTCTATGGAATACTACTCAGCCATTAAAAAAAAAAAAAAAAAAGACCCAGGTTTTTGACAGAAAGTGGATGAATATGGAAGATTTACAACTGAGTGAAACAAACCAGGCTATGAAAGAGAGACATTGTATGTCCCCACTTAATATATTCTGAGTGTCCCGCTCTATGACTGAAACTGAATGACTAAAGGATATAGAAACACAGTAAGTGGTTGTGAATACCAGATATAGTGTGGGAAGAGGGTGGTGAAGGAGTAGAGTCTGAAGAAGGACATTTAGAAGAAAAATAGAGAGGCAAAGCATTAATGGGACAAAGAAATGGGGTATTATCTATTGAAGATAACTTCATAGTATTATCAACTGGATTGGGGAGAAATGTACACATGTTGGAATATTCACTTAGCAAGCTAAATAATGTGATTGAATGTATAAAAAAAAACTTGAAATAAAAATAAAACAAAAATAAAGATGAATCTGGAGCATCTTGTGGTGCCAAAAGAAATACGTGTTCATACTTACCTGGCAGGGGAAAAACCATGATCACAAAGCTGGTTTTCCCAGGGTGAGGTTTATCCATTACTCTGGATGTCCTGACCTCTGCAATTTCCTCAAATGTGGGAAGCTTGACTGCATAATTTGTAGTAGTGGGGGACTGCATTCACACTTTACCCTGAAAAAAAAATAAGTAAAGTAAATAAAAAAGAAATGAGTCTCAAACATACACACACATGTACATAAATGTATATGCACTCACACTCACACACTCTCTGATGGGGATGCCTCAAAAGGACATTGCAGTCAAACAAAAAGGACTGCAAAGAGATGAAAACTGGAACAATTGGGGAACCAAAACAAAGTATTTTGATTATAATCCAAAATATAAAATAAATTTCCTGAATTCATACTAACAAATAAATAACTAAATAAATCAATAAATGAGATGAACTAAATAAATCTCTTATACAGAGGAATTTCAAGAGACTTAGGGAAATAATTTTCCTTTAAGGAGGTGGAATATAGCTTCATGCTTCTTAAATATCAGCTGCAATAGTGGCTTCTCTCCAAAAAGTACTGTACCGTAAGGAAAGGAGGGGAAGCCTAACTTCACATTAGACAAATCTGTTAAACATCACCTCAGCCAACTGATCACAATTAACATCTACAGTAATAAATTACATTTGTAGTATCTACCCTTGATATGATGTGATGAGAATGGAACTTTGTTTCTATGGTCTGCCACCTAAAAACCCATAATCCAAATCTAATCATGAGGAAAACATCACACAAAACACAGTAGAGGGATATTCTACCAAATGTCTAGTCATTACTCTGCAAAAATCTCCAGGTTATCAAACACAAGGAAAGTCTGAAAAGCTGCCACAGACAAAAGGTCACTAAGGAGACAGGATTAGTAAATGTAATGTGAGAACTTGGGTGGAAACCTGAGACAGACATTAGATAAAACTAAAGAAATCTGAAAAATGGACAGGTTTTAGTTAATAATATATTCATATTGGTTCATTAATACTCATAAACGTATGATAGTAACAAGATATTAACAATAGGGTAAAGTAATTACTGAGTATACAGGACTCTCTAGATTAGCACTGCAACTTATCTGTAGATATAATGCTACTCTAAAATGTTTATTTTTTAGTGAATGTATCAAAGCTACATGCACCAATAAGAATGTAACTCACAAATCTATGTCAAATGACAGAAATTTTATAAAAATTAGAAATCAAAAGGAAAAAAAGGATAGTGTATAATATTTTTTAAATAATTATTTTATTTAACTTTATTTATTTCCTTTCATTTGACCAGAGAGGGACAGAATGAGAGAGAGAGAGAGAGAAAGTGAGAGAGCAAGCTGCCAGGTCCAGGACTCGAACCACTTTTGGCTATGTGGGAGTCCAGCCTCCCTAACCACCACACCACTGCTGGTCCCCAATAGAGTATAATATTGCTTACCTATTTATGAAAATGGATTTGTATATGGTATTAAAACCCAAGAGAGTTGTTTCCCGGAGAAATAGACTTAGAGGACATAATAGGTAATTAAAGTGCGAGTGATACTCTATATTTTAAAAATATACTTCAAATTTCTTTTAGAAATTAAAATTAATTTTAGTTCCACTTACAGTACCTTGAGAATAAAATATGGATATATTTAATGGGAAACGGGGAATATCTATAAGTAAAAGGCAAAACCTAATGTGCTCATGAGTTGGAAGACAATGTTGATAGCATGGCATTTCTCCCAAATTGATCTATAGATTCAATACAACCCTTATCAAAATCCTAAAAGGATACTTTGTAGTTTCATCCAAGTACTAGTTACAAAAATGTGTTTACATTGTGTTTATTATTGAGCAATGATCTTAAATCATTCACTTGTATGTATGTATACATTTAATGTATCAATACTTTTTTTTTGAGAGGTTTTTGCTATAGAGCCCATGTGCTCGCCAAAAAGACAGAGAGAGACAGAGAGACAGAAAGCAAGAAATCACCCCCCAGGGGGGATGGCCACACCACAATTCCGTCTCCTCCATTCTCCTCTCGGGATCTTGGGCACGCACACACACACACCCGGCGTGAGTTTTAAGCCACCGGGTCTGGGACGTGAACCACCGTCGACTACGTGGGAGTCCAGCGACATAGCCATTACTCTAACTGTTGGCCCCTCAATAAAATACTTTTTAAACATTAAATTTCATGCATGTTTTGGTATCTTCAGGGTTTTCACATAAAGGTATATCATGACCTTTTTTCAAGAAGTGTGATTGCTGGGACCAGCAGTTAGGGTAATGGCTATGTCGCTGGACTCTCATGTGGTCGACCACAGTTTGAGTCCCGGACCTGGTGGCTTAAACTCAAGCCAGGCATGGGTGCACGTGTGCCCAAGATCCCGAGAAAAGAATGGAGAAGGGATTGCAGCGTGGCCATCCCCTCTGGGAGGTGATTTCTCACTTTCTGTCTCTCTCTGTCTTTCTGGCGAGCACACGTGCCCTATAGCAAAAACCTCCCCTCCGCAAAAAAAAAAAAAAAAAGTGTGATTGCTAACTTGGAGGAAAAATGTTTTTCGTGCTTATTAATATCTCCTTAGCTATTTTTGCAACTTTCCATTCTAAAAGATGAAAGTTGCCTTTCTACTAGGAAATATGGATAACCTCATTTTCACATGAACTGATACCAACTTGTAGGTCAAAATAGACCAAGGTAAGACCTCACTTTTCTGTGAGGATATGAATATCTAAATCTTCAAAATGATAACATTACTGAAAAAATTGCATCTAGTATACTCAAAGCACCAGGTAAGATGCAAATCTGATTTCTAATAACCAAAAGCAAATGCAGGTAATATTTGGTTAATGAAGGGCTATGGAATATAATCATTTCTTATTTACTTCCAATAATTTCTTGTACTTCAAAGCTTTGCTTCTTTCTTAAGTCGCCCTTGCTCTAATATAGTCGCATAATGACATAGTATTTTCACATCTTGTCAAGAAGGTGACCTCTAAGCAAAAAGAATCAATTATCTATATGTTGAAAATAGACTCCTTTTTAACACTTGTGAGAAGCTTAAATAAAACCAGTGATGGACAACAGTTTGGATAATTTGTGGAAAAACTATGCATGTTACTTGTATATGCATGTTTGCCATGTTAACTACATGAATAACTTAGCAATGTTTCCTCTTCTGGTAACAGTGAATAAAAGGAAGTTTCGGCGGCCAATATAAAGTATAAAGTCAAAAATACCCTTATCATATAGATACTTAACCTTTGTCTAGACTCTTCGATGTTAACAAACATGTCACTTTAAAATACCTCAGTTTTGCTGGCATGTCATCAACTAATGTCTGGGAAAGAGATCAAATTAGACTTTTTCACTGTTTACCACTTATTCTTTTCTCTGTCCAGCCATTGAAAAAGGAGTGGTTTTCACTGTTTGGTCTTATTAACAGGTCACAAAGATCTAAAGTCCCTTGGGCTAGTGCATGTTAGGGCGCTGGACTTCCACATGGTTGACTGATGTGAGACTCAGATCTGAATACCAGATCTGGGGGCTTGCTTTCTCCCTCCCTCCTCCTCTCTATCTTTGTGTGTGTGTGTGTGTGTGTGTGTGTGTGTCTGTCTGTCTGTCTTTCTGGAGAGCACATGTGCACTATAGCAAATTAAAAAATAATAAGTTAAATAAGTATTTTTAAAAGATCTATTTCTAGCTTTCTCTCTCTCTCTCTCTCTCCTCTCTCTCTCTCTTCTCTCTCTGTCTCATCAAATATAAAAAAAATAACAAATGGAATTAAATAAATAAATGTATAATCTAATATTTCCTCAAATTGAATTGCATTTGACTGGTTGCCTAATAGTAATAATACCATTTGCTGAGCAAATAACAAGAATGTTCTACTTTACAGTACTTTCATATATGAGAAAAATAAATAACAAATTAATAATTTAAGTCATTTTACACCAAATAAAGATATATAGCCAACAGGATTTGGGACTTACAATTAAACTCTAGGTCAGAAAACATTTTAATGTGGGCCCAGCAGTTAGTGTAATGGCTATGTCGCTGGACTCTCATGTAGTCGACCACAGTTCGTGTCCCAGACCCGGTGGCTTAGAACTCATGCCGGGCACGTGTGCGTGCGTGCCCAAGATCCCGAGAGGAGAACGGAGGAGAAGGGATTGCCGCGTGGCCATCCCCCCTGGGGGGTGACTTCTCACTTTCTGTCTCTCTGCCTCTCTCTCTCTCTCTGGTGAGCGCACACACCCTATAGCAAAAATCTCTCCAAAAACAAAAGGAAATATTTTAATGTTGTTTCTTATGATTTTGGGTACAAATGGCATATGATTTGAAATCCTACACAGAAACTTTACTGCTCAGATTCAACAGAACATGAACATTTTGTTCTCATCCGAACTAGTCACTAGAGTTCCTTCTTTAGACAAAATGTTTCAAGTATACTAGAACTGCCCTTCACTGTAGAAATATAAAACATCTTTTTTTAATCTTCCAAAGTCATGTGAAACATTATAAAGTTATTAAAAATAAGGAAAGCAAGAGTCTCTTGGTTCTTCTTTGAAGTATTAAATAATCATTGCTGGGAATGGTAGGTGGAATGGTAGTTAAGGGTGCTGGATTCCCACTCGGCCAACTGCAGTTTGATCCTGGACCTGGTGGCTTTCTCTCTCTCCCTCTCTCTCTGTCCCTTCTCTTTTTCTCTGATCAAAATTAAAATAAATAAATAAATAAATAAATAAATAAAAATAATTATTGCTTATAGAAATCACAAAAATACTTTAAGTTTAATAGAAGTTGAATTTATAGACCATGATAGCGTATTATCAACCTTAGTATCATTGGGAACAAAGTATCCTGCAAATGAAGCAATTTATTCTGAGGAAAAGAAAAAGGATGGGTGTACTATCCATTGCAGATGGCCCACCTTTCACAAGAAGTGTTGAGTCCCCAGTGCTGTCCTGCACAGAACTGCCACGGCCCCTAGATATTGGGTGTAAGGACTGCTTTGTATTAAGGCTGTGCTTGTCACATAGTGTTGATTGCAAAGAAGTCCCTTGGAGCAAAACACAAAGTTTCCAGGATCGAATAAATCTGAGAAACACCTCATATTATTTGTAATTTTTACAGAATCAAAATGCA